AAAAAAAAAAAAAAAAAAAAAAGACCCATAAAGTTCATAATTTAGCTTGTGATGGGTTCAACTAATAAACTGAACCTATGATTGTCGTATTAAACTTAATGTAGACATATTATTATTGTATTAAGTGAGTATTAATTTAAGTAATGACATGGTTTAGTTGTAAGATGGTGATGGTTTGGTGCATATGATAAGTACGTAAATGGCAGAGATGTTCATTTAATCCGCATAATTAGGCTCCATGGGAATTTGCCTCGTATAGGAGGAGAATCTCGTTTAAATGAGGATGGGGACGGAGATTACATTTTTCGTCTCCGTCCCCAATCTCAACCTCGCCCCAATTTTGTCTCCGCCCGACCTATCCCATCGACATCTCTAGTAAATGGGTGTTAAAAGATTGCATAGTATATTGGGCCTAGTCTGAATTGTGGGGCCTCATGTTGGTGGAAAAGCCCACCTGCTCAACTTTTATGGATCTGAGCTCTCCCCATCACCAAACATTGTTTTTCTTTTTATTATTATTTAAAAAATTAATTATTTATTATTGAGGTGACTTTTTAAGACCATGCAAAAAGCTCTTTGTGCTAGTCTCTATTTGATTTTTTTTTTTTTTTTTTTTTTTTTTTTTTGTGAAAAAATTAACTATATTCCTAAATTTTGGCTGTATGGATTAAAATTTTAAATTAACAATGTATTAATTTAAAATTTAAACTTTAATTGATAATTCTTATTTGGATGGGTGGTTTATTTTAAGTTAAATAATACGATATGCTACTTAACTTTATAATTTATTTTAATTATATCTCTTAATTTAAAAAGTAAATAAATTTGTTCGAAAAGATACTTCATGAAATTGTTTTAAATTTTTTCTTAATACAACGAATTAAAATTAACGTGAGAACACATGCTTATCAATTTTTGCACTTTAGCTCACACAATAATTTACTTGAAATTTAACATTTATTTTATACAAAATTTAGGAGTTGAGTTCAACATTTATTTTTATCAAAATACCCTAAAATCAATAATAATTTGGTAATATATAAATTTTCTTATCTATATGTTATAATTCATACATGTAAGACGCCGACATAAATTCAAATTATATACCACTAATTATCACGGTTGTTAACATGGAATTAGTTGAGACTTCTTTCTCGAATTTGTGTATCACGAAAAATCTTTACAAGTAGATCTTTACAAGTGGCATTGTCTTTTTTCACTCACGCAATATTGTTGAGTCGGACTTTCACTCGTTGTCTAAGATTCCTCACTGTTGCTCCTTATAGGAGTCGGGGCTGTGTCTTAAATCGACACATATGTTTCACTCATTTCTCTTAAAAAGCATTAATCTTTCTTTACTCTCAATACTTTTCCACTAACTTTCCTAATCATCTTCTTCGTCTTCTCGAAGTAAACACATTTCTACGGTCAAAATAGACATAAAGAAGAAAAGAAAGACCCATAATTAATTAACCCATTGGACCAATTCTTTCACTAAACTTCGTCTTCTTCCAATTACTAGAAAAAACAAGAAACCCACAAAAGAAACTGAATTGTTTTCTTGTTTGAACGATCAAAACCCATCAAAATCAGGCCATTCAACTAATTAATAACAATCATTAACAAATTCCTCAAGCATCCGAAACTACACTGTAATCATCTTCTTCAATCGGCGCCGGTAAGTTCAGATCTATCAGACTAATTTCAAGCTTCAAAGAAACAGAGGCATTTACAGTAACAGCAGCGTTTTCAGAGCTCACAACATGGGATCTCTTATGGCCGCCAAGGGCTTGTCCTGATCCAAATAGCTTAAAACAAAATGGGCATTTGAAGACTCTTCTATTTCCGCCATTTTTGAACTCTTCGTGTTCTTCCTGTTCTTCGTCGAGCTCTGTTTCTAATTGGCAGATTTTCTCATGGCTAAACAGAGCTCTGTAAGATCGGAACAATTTCGTGCACTTTCCGCACTTTTTCTTCCTTTTAATTCCCGTCAATGATTTCGTTTCTGGTTTCATCCATCGATCGCGTGAGAGCATCATCAGAGACATGGCGAGGTCTTCCTCCGGTGAAGTATCAGAAACAGAGCTGCTCGGTTCCAACGGCGGTTTCCGGTACTTTTTGGATCGTTTCCGAGATGGGTTTGTGGATTCCGTTTCGCTCTCTGTGTCTTGAAGGAGAATATTGAAAATTCTCTTGGGATCTTCTCGAAATTCATCGTCGTCAGCGGAGTAGGAGGAGAAGGAAGAGGGAACACCGCCGTGGGTCTCTGGAGGAGTGGGCGGAGGGAGTGGTGGCGCCATGGCGGCAGTGAGATGGGCCTTCATGTGGGCGGCGTAGGCTCTGCCATTGGCGAAGGATTTGAAACAGAGGTTGCAAATGTGGGACTCCATTACCGAAATGAAATCAAAGCTTTTTTTGGTTTTTGGTGGAATGGAAAGTACAGAAGGGATTGGGAACTTAAAAGGAGTAGATGACAAGCATTCCTCCACCAAAAGGAACAATAAACAGCACATCCAATAAATATTTTCTTTTTTTTTTTCTAAATATTCTCTTTCCCAGTAAGAAAAAATTAAAAAATAAAAAGCTGGTATTTCCTATTTTCAGGGTTGTTATTATTAGGTTAAATTAATAAAAATTATATCCAAATTTCAATATCACCCCTTAAATTTTAATTTTTTTTAAAAATACTCCATTTTTTAAAAGATGTTACAACTTAAATTGTTCAAACTCGTGCCCAAAAGTACATGGGTTCAAATGACCCGAGTAGGCTGTTTAATCCAAACTATAAAGTTTGGGTTGACTCTAATACCAACTGACACAACATCTACCACTCAAAAGTGTGAATAGATCTGTAAATAGAAACAATAGAGAGTTCAAATGAGACTAGAATTGTGATGGAAGGTTAAATTTCATTCATATTCACACCGTTTAAATATGATACAAGATACCAACAAATAAGGAAAATATAAACTAAAGAGAAAAATATTAACTGATTACTAAAATCTAAGAGTGACTAATATTCTCCGAATAAAGAATATCTTGACTAATTCAAACTAGCAAGAAGTTAGACTAAATTTTTACAGGGGTGGGTTGAATTTTTAAAAAATTGAAAAATTTATATCGGTCTTATGGGTTGACAGTTTTTGGTTGGGTTAATCCGATCAACACAACAAATAGGTTTACCACTCAATGCTGATGTTAGTGATTAAAAATATTTTACCTTTTTAGCTGATGTCAGTGATGACTGTGACTTGTGAAGATTTGATATTTTAGTTTGATGAGGTTTTAGTTATTAATGTAATATGGACGATGGTAAATAAATTTTAAATGGAATTAATAAATAATAATAATAATAAAAGGCAAATTTGGTTCGAAAACGACAAGAGGTTTAAGAAAGTTAGAGGCGTGAATGGGAAAGTAGGGACAAGCAACACGCAAACCTTGCCGGTCGGAGTAATTAAAGTCCTTTTTTATTTTGTGAGCCCTCTATTTTTTACAAATTCCACAATTTTCCATTTCCATTGCTATTATTGCAAATATTCTACTTTTGGGGGGCTCATAAGTAAATTAATTATTTATTTAATTTTCAAATCACCAATATTTATCCGCTTTACCCTATCATGAGTACCACAATGATGTTCCTAGACAACCTTGATTATGTAACATGTTTTTTTTTTTTTTTAACAAATTAATTATTTTTTTGGTTGATATTTAATTTAAAAAATATATAATATGAAAAATTAATACAACAATTATTTCTTAATTTTTAAATAATTAATAATTAATAATTTAATCTTAAAATTTTAATCGTGGTGTGATATTAGTCCATTTTGAGCATAAACTTTCATAAATTTGTTTTTTATTTTTAGGTTATATTCGGAATGAAAATTATATTATTTACTTATAAATTCATATTTTTTTTTAATTAGTGAAGGTGGAACTACACCTTCTAATAATACTCAATTTACAGGATGATATGTAGACTAAAATAATCAAATAAGTAATTTATTGGGGACCATAGTGAAAAATAAAATTCAAATATCGATGATTAAATGTGAATTTTAAGGACCAAATAGTAAATAGTAACTAAAATCAATTATGAGATATTAGAAAAATGTCAAATTTCAAATATTACGGGTTAAATATAAAGTGATATTTGCGAATTAAAAACATGAAGAAAGAATAGGGTAAATAATTGCCATTAACCGTACTCCGGAGTTCGATCGAAGGTCCGAGGCGAAAACGAAACCCTAGCGGTGGGAGGTGACGAGAATCCGCAGGTTTTTTCTTTTAATCTTCAAATCTCTTTACTTGATTGTGTTTCTATTGTGATTTTGAAGCTTTGCGCCAAAATCTTTGGAGTCACCGATTAATTTGCAGAGACGGCGACGTCGGAGCATCATACACTGTAGAAACCATATTACGAGGCACACGTGAACACCAGAAAGTTGAAAGAAAGTAAAAGATAATGTGTCAATAGGTACGATGGCGACTCTGGCAAGTCAACCAACGCACCATCAACCAACTTCGGTGGAGGAAGTTAGAACACTTTGGATTGGGGATTTGCAGTACTGGGTCGATGAGTCTTACCTTAGTTCTTGCTTCGCTCACACTGGCGAGGTTCGTTTGTTTTTTTTTGTTTATTTCTTCCTTCAAAATTTTAGGCACTTTTGTGTTTAATGATGTTGCTTTTAATCATAGACCCATTAGGACTTCAGTAGTTTCTCAATCTAGATGTGTGTATGGATTTTTGAGCTTTTGTTCGTTAATTTATAGCGTATGCGATTATTATCTAGGTCTGAAAGTAGGAAAAATGATTCAATCTGGTTGCCTCTTCGTAGCCATTGGATGTGGATTCAAAATTCCGCATGTACCTAGTAACAACTAGATATATGTCTGAGATACTTTTGCGGTTCAAATTGTGTAAAGCTGCCCACGACATTTTGGCGGCCATCTCGAGTAAGCTCTCCTGAAATTGAGTTGTTTTCTTCTGGTCTTTGGAAGTGAATTTGCGTGATCAAATTAGAATGTGTTTGTATTTTGGTCCATTGCTACGAGAGCTGAGCTGTAGGGAAAGCCTCTCTTATGACCTTTCATGCCACTGAATGGGGATGAGTTTGATGTTTAATGTTAAAGAGCCGTGGTAGCGAAACGTCATTGTGTAAAATTATAGTTATTTTCTAGTAGTTGTTATGTTTCAACGGCCAGTACAAATATACTTTTGATGCCTGGTAGTTGTTTGTGTTATTGTATTCGAGTAAGAGCTTATGACTTTTAGCTGTTTGAGAAAAGAGAGTATTCTGTTATTTGTGAACTATTCTATTTTTTTTTTTTAATACAGGTAATATCAATTAAAATTATTCGCAACAAGATCACAGGGCAGCCTGAGGGTTATGGGTTTGTGGAGTTTGTGTCTCATGCAGCAGCAGAAAGAATTCTGCAGACGTACAATGGGACTCAGATGCCTGGAACTGAGCAAACTTTCAGGTTGAATTGGGCTTCTTTTGGAATTGGAGAAAGGCGTCCTGACGCAGGCCCTGAGCACTCTATTTTCGTGGGGGATTTGGCTCCTGATGTTACAGACTATCTGTTGCAAGAGACCTTTAGAGCTCAATATCCATCTGTTAGGGGTGCTAAAGTTGTGACTGATCCAAACACAGGACGTTCAAAGGGATATGGTTTTGTAAAATTTGCTGATGAAAATGAAAGGAATCGAGCTATGTCTGAAATGAATGGTGTTTATTGCTCAACCCGACCTATGCGTATTAGTGCAGCAACACCCAAAAAGACCATTGGTGTTCAGCAGCAATATACTCCAGGTAAAGGTAATGAGTATGTGTTGTACTGTCTTTCCTTTTCTTCATTTTATCACTTCTCTCGTTTTCTAATCTTTTTGTTCCATATGTAGCGGGTACTATCTTTTTTACTTTTCATCCAACTTTCCGGCCTTCCTAGGTTTTCTATTTGTATGAAACTGGTCTGGTTCCTGTCTGTGCGAGGAGTCATAGATATGAAGCTATTTGGCTTAAAAAGTTGAATTTCACCTTTTTCACTGAAAGTTCTCTTTTGGATACTGCTAAGCAATTTTTGCATCAATGAACCTAGAGCTAGGAGTTCAATAGGCACAAATGGACCATTCTGAAATTTTAGCAGATATTAGCTGAATTAGTGTTCTTGGATCTATGATGAAAACTTGTCAAGTTGATTGTTCCGTATGTATAATGTCTATGTCAAAGTACAATTTATCTCTATGATCTTCTCGGATAAAAACGTTAATCAATGTCAAAAATAATTTCTGAATGCCTTGATGGGAGACGTCATCTGTCAGTCACGAATGAAATTTATTCATTGTTATTATTATTTTTTCCTTCACCTAAAGAGAGAATCTTAGGAGGGGGATAGTACTGCTATTTTTAAACTTGTACTTACCAATGTGCCTCTTGGCTCAGCAATGTACCCAGTTCCAGCTTACACTACACCCGTGCCTGTGCTTCCAGCAGATTACGATGCAAATAACACAACTGTAAGTGAAGTGACTGTTATTTTCTCTGGTTTCTGTGCTTATCTCTTACTACATTGATCTTTATGCAGATATTTGTTGGTAACTTGGATCCTAATATTACAGAGGAGGAGTTGAAGCAAACTTTTTTGCAGTTTGGTGAGATTACTTATGTGAAAATTCCTGCCGGCAGAGGCTGTGGCTTTGTACAGTTTGGGACAAGGTATGTTAGCATGACTAATTTTATTGATCCAAGTTGATTAAATTTAATCTTTTCTTGCTCCTGTTCCTATGCCCTGAAAGAAGGCCATGAATAAAAATAATAGTCAGTGGAAGAAAAAAATTATTGTGGAATAGGGAGAAAGCTTTTGTGTACGTACAATTTTCAAAGATATGTTATCTTCTTCTTATTTCACCATGAACATTTGGACTTGGATTAAGTACGTGTGTCCATGCAGGGCTTCTGCTGAAGAAGCCATCCAAAAGATGCAAGGAAAGATAATTGGTCAACAAGTGGTTCGTACTTCCTGGGGTAGAAATCCAGCTGCCAAGCAGGTAATTGACCTTCTATTTTAGTACAGAACAAATATTTACTTGATTTACTAAAATTCTTTTTACTCCGTGGATGTGATGTATAATTATGCGGTTTATAATTTAATGCTTGGGTTCACAAGAAATTTGTGTATAAAACATTAGGCATATTGTCTTTTATTTATTAATTTTTATTTTTGATAAGAAACGAGAATGAATTAAAGAAAAATGATACAACCTAGGGGGCCCCGTTGTGAGAATCCCCTCCGAAAAGAAGCTATGAGTAGGCTTTTCAATTGTTAACAATGGTAGAAATGTTGTATTTACAGAAGAATTTTCTGTGACTAAAAACCTCACCAAGAAACAAGGAGCTGTACATTTCTAAAAAAATAAAAAGAAGACTACTTATCTTCAAAAGTTATTTGGTTCCTTTCAAACCATATGTGCTAAAAACAATGCCTGGATTGCAAATCTTCATAAAATATTAGCATGTTTGGACAGCAGTCTTTTATTTAGCCTGTGAGTTTGAAATTCATCTATATGAAGAAGGCTTGCATTTCATCATATTTAATAATATATATATATATATATATATATATATATATATATATATATTTTTTGGTTGTGAACGTTAAAACAGAATGGTATGAAAATAGGATCTAAAGAAAATGTATGGAAACGAGGTATCCTAAGAAAAGAATAACAGAAAATCATCTATAACCTGTATCAGACACAATCATTATCTTAATTATAATATATTGTTTCTTCTTTTGTGCACTCCTTGATAAAATTGGTTATGCGCGTTATCTTTCTGTTAGCAGCTCTGTGTACTGCTCATAGTGAACTAGAGTTCACTCTATTAAGTAAACTTTGATGAAATGGTGATGAATTTTTAGGACTTGGCTACTTGGGGTCAGCAAGTTGATCCGAACCAGTGGAGCGCCTACTATGGGTATGGAGGAGCTTATGATGCTTATGGATATGGAGTTGTACAAGATCCATCTTTATATGCTTATGGTGCATATTCGGGTTATGCCTCGTATCCTCAACAGGTAAGTTTCATTTTCTTTAGACGACAAGGAGCTGTATATACTTCCGTGGTAGGTAATGGGCAGTGTGATTGTTATAATCTATTTGTTTGCAGCCATTTTCAATTGGAGTCTATTGGGTGAATTCTAATTGAACTTTCTGGATGCTAAGGCTTAGAATCAGAATAAAATGAGTGGGAATCAAGAGCAATATATGTATAGATAAAGGTTGATATATTCAGAAAATTCATTGCCTGTTCTGATCTTGGAACTATTTACATAAACTATTTTCTTTCAGGTTGATGGTGTACAAGATTTGGCCGCTGTAGCTGGTGCTGTCCCTGCCCTGGAACAGGGAGAGGAATGGAATGATACGCTGGATACACCAGATGTTGAATGGTTAGGATCTCTCTCTCTTTTGTCCCTATGGAGATACAATACGAGTTTGGAAATTTACAATTCTCTATCAGTATTTGAACGTGCATTGACATCAAGTTGTAAATTTTGCAGTTTAAACGACGCATACCTCTCGAAACACGAAAGTGCTATTTTAGGCTGGCCTTTATGGTTGACTACCTCATCACTGGTTAGGCAAACATGAGCTTGGTGGTCCTCTGCATCTCCATTGTCGTCGGTAGTCGTAGGTCATCAGCGCACAAAGGCAGCAGGAGGAGGATTGTGGTATGTACTTTATATGCTCGACTATACTTCGGAAGGATGATATCGACATCATACTGTTGCTGTGTACTATACAACAGTAACACTGTTATTTAATTTCGTACTTCATTTTCCTCGTTCGGGATAGGTGCTTTGATGCTGTCCTCCGCCATTCGGAAATGGCGTTTTCGTATCAGGAGAGCATCTGCTTTGTTCCGTACCTTGTTTCTGTATTCATATTAACTACATGTGCTACCAGTTTGTCTGTTTTTTAACATGCAACTCGAGCCGAAAACCGTTTCTCAGCTGAGATTTAGCCTAAAGTAAATGAAGTTTAAATGATGAATGGAAATGATGGTTGTCTCTAAAACTTGTTCCTCCCTTTCTAGAAAATTAGCTATTTTTTAAAATTCTGGAGTACAATTTGAATAAATTAAATAATATAAGTATTTAGAAATGAATTTAAATATGAAAAATACATATTATGATATATGAAGCATTGCATTGCAGAGGTGCCTGCCTACGCATCAGAGGGTGCAATCCAGTGCCTGCCATTCACAAAACTCTTCACAAGAAATGGATGGGCCTCTTCAAACTCCAATTCCTTGGCCCATGATACTCCCTTTACTTTACTTGCTCCTGGGCCCCAGCACTTGTATACTCCAAAAAATACAGTCCTGCACCACCCCAAAAGTAAGTATGAATAAACAATAAACTTTCAAAATTGCCAAATTGGGCCTATATAGGCCCAATTTGACTGACTGGGCCCAAGATCATAGATCGATGGGTAAGCCCAGCCCAGCTCAGCCCAGCCCAGCCCATATTAGAGAAGAGAAACGGTATCATGGGCCGTTGGGGCACACAAAAGAGATTGAGAAGAGATTTTACTTGTTTTTGTTGCTGGTGTGGTCCCAGTCATCCCATCCACCGTGGGCCACCACGTCATCAAAGTATGTATACGCGTAGACGATTCTGGAGTACTGGCCCATAGCCCGGCCCACGTATATAGGTCCAGAACCGGTCACCTTGCATCGGACGAAAGCGAACCCGGTCTTCTCGTTAGGCGAGTTTCTATCTTGGGCCGCTATGGAACCGAACCGGGTGGCGATCGAGTGCAGCTCGCAATCCTAAGGCATCAAACGTTGCCGTTTAATGATTTTGTTATAATTATTTTAAAAGCCTTAAATTATACATGAAATTAAAAAAAAAAAAAAAAACTTTCCATTTTAAGTATGTAAGAAAGCTAACTATTTTGCAAGGACTAGGAATAATTTAATTTTAATGTAAACAATTAAAAAGAAAAATTAAGAAAGGGAATTAAAATTAGATTGCCTTATACATGGAACGCCCGTTGCCAAAAATGAAGTCTATGGAGCCTTCTATGTAGCATTCTTTGAAGTAATGGCGGCCGGCGTCGTCACAGAGGGTGTCTTGTGCGCCGTAGAATCCACACCCGGAAAAGTAGGCCTTGTCACCGGAAATACGAAACGCCGCCGCCTGCCACCCTTGCATTCCGGGCATTGGCGCCGGTGCCGTATTCTGCCGTCACGTGAACCACATATCAAATACGAATTAAATAATTATTTTAATAAATGGTAGAAATATGTAGGACAAGTAAGTTCACGGGCAGGGCAGTGGAAAGTGTTGGTGGGGTACTTATTTTTACCTTGAAGCTGATGTTTCGGGCAGAGAAGTAATTAGCAAAAACTGTGACAGAAGCTGTTCTGTAAGTACGCAGCTGCTGCCCGCTGGGACCACGGTCACCTGCTCGGTCGTGCCACTCTATCACCGTCGTCTCTTTCCCCCCTCCTTCAAATGTTATGTACGGCTTCGTCGCCGGCACCACCACCTTCTCCCTGCAAATTTCCATTCCCAAGAAAAACCTTAATCAAAACGCCTTAATAATACCTATAATCCCTCAAACTTAAAAGCTTTTGAGTTTATGGTATAATTCGCACCACGGGTCTGGATCAATCGCCTACCAAATTATAAAACTCGACAACATGTGTCTAACTCAATTGATCAAGTCATCGCTTATAGAGTTATATATCTCGACGAAACGGGTTTAGCTCAATTGATCAAGACATCGTCTATCGAATTATATAATTCGACGACATGGGTTATCTCAATTGATCAAGACATCGCCTACCGAGTTATATAATTCGATGACCCAAGTCTAGCTCAACTGATCAAAACATCGTCTACCGAGTTATATAATTCGATGACCTTGGTCGAGCTCGATTGATCAAGACATTGCCTACTGAGTTATATAACTCAACGACATGGGTCTAGCTCAATTTTTCAAGACATCACCTATTGAGTTATATAACTCAACGACACGGGTCTAGATCAATTTTTCAAGACATTGCCTACCGAATTATATAACTCAACTACATGGGTCTAGATCAATTTTGCAAGACATCGCCTACCGAATTATATAATTCAACGACACGGGTCTAGATCAATTTTTCAAGACATCGTCTACCGAGTTAAATAACTCAACGACACGGGTCTAGATCAATTTTTCAAGACATCACCTATTGAGTTATATAACTCAACGACATGGGTCTAGCTCAATTGATCAATACATTGTTTCTCGAGTTAAATAAGATGACGACGTAGACGTAATTATTGGATGAAGATATTGGTATTGGGGGTTAGAAAGATTTGATAGGTAAAGGCGTGTGGGGAAAGTTAGTAACAAAAGAGGGAAGGATTTATACGTAAAGGGGAAGAAAAGAAATGAAATGGAAAATAATGAGTGTTTATAATGAATTTTGGGTTTGTTATGAAGGAAAGAAGAGGCATTACACGTAATAACCAGGGCTGATTCGGATGAGGGTGTTGACGGTATTGTAATCGGGGACTGCATCCACGGCGGCTTGGACGGAGAGGAACTCGCCGGAGATGCCGTTGACGTCCACTTTGATAAGGCGGTGGCCGGTGGGTCCGACCCAGTGGTGGCGGTGGTGCTTGGCGGCGGCTAGGAGAAAGAAAGCCGGAACGGAAATGAAGAAGAAGAAGAAGAATGAGTTAAGGGAGAATGTCATTTTAGAGAGAGGTTTGGGTAATATGGGAATGTTCTGCAAATCTATATATAAGGGAGATGATGGATGGAATGATTTTCGCTAATTAAAATAAATAAATAAATAAATAAATGTTTTTTTTTTTTTGGTTCCAAAAATAAAAAAGAAAAAAAGAAATGTTTTTATTTATTTATTTATTTATTTGGGTTTGCTTATAACGGCCATTTGGATCGGGTTACACTTACAACTACGGCAGTGGCATTTTGGTAATATTCGCTCTTGAGTGAGGTTGTTTTTGGGAATTTCTTAGAGAGAAAGAGTGACGTTTTTTCCCGCGGAAGAATGTGAGAGAGTGATTAAAATTAATCCGTTTAACAATTATTTTAAGCTATATTACAAAATAAATAAATAAATAAAAATTACCCAAATATTGTGATTCGTGTAGAAATTCATGAAAATTTTAAATGAAAATTGAGATTCGAAATGACGGGTATTCGAGTTACCATTTTTAGTTTAGGTTATTGTTGTTACACTGTTTCGTTGAATTAAAAAAAAAATTCATAATATATTTTAGATTAAAGTTTAATGAATTGAAGTTAAAAGTAAAATAAATAAATAATATTAAAAAAATGGTGTTGAAATTCAAGTTCCTGTTGTCGTGGTTATTAGATGAATACGGACTCTCCACAATAGTATGATATTGTCCACTTTGAGCTTTCGAAAAGGCTTCATTCGACTGGAGATAGTATTCCTTGATTATAAACCCATAATCATGCTCTAGATTAGCGATGTTTTTATCGAACAGTCGCGTGAAAACTTTTAATGAATAAATTTATGAGTTTTTTTTTAAAGGAAAGGAAAATAAAATTTTTATTACAGACATATATTATATTATATATAATAATAATATCATATGACTGTGTCTCCCAACCACTTATCCCAATTATGTTGATTGGTTTGGTTGAAAATTTTACTCTTTTGTTTCTGGTTCACATTTCAGTATTTACTTCTAATCTTATTTAATTTAGATAATTATATTTCATAATAAATTTTTATGTCATTTCAACTTTTTCAAATTTTACGATAATAATTAAATATTTATTTAATTTGAGGTCGAGACCTTACCAAAAAGGACAGTTTCCATTTACAAAGAACTGTTATTGGCTAAATAGAGACGAAACGACTAAAAGCTAATTTAAAAGGTATATATTACATTTTTAGTCCCTAAATTTTTAGTATAGTTTTTATTAGATCTCTAAATTATAAAATATTACATTTTTACTTATCAAATTAAATTATAAATTATATATTTTTTTAATGGATTTCGAGATTTTACCTTTTTAGTTCTCTAATTAACTTTTAATTAATCAATTATGATAAAAATTAATAAAATATGAACAAAAATCGAACAGTAAAAATTTGAAATCTTGAATAAAAATATAAGAGATTGAAGCATTGGACTATAGAAAGCAAACTAAAAACGAGTAAACTTTAGAAACTTTGAAACATAACGACCAAATCGAACTAATTTTTAACCTACGAGAACTAAAATTAAATAAAATAATAATAAAATTTTAATTAAACTTTAAATTATATCATGATTTATTTTATTGTTATTGGTGGGATGTGTAAAAGGTAGAAATGTATTAATTTGAAGATTGCCCATACGGAAACAGAACGGAATGTCAGAGAATAATAAAATAATTACCTTCTTAATTTTTATATTTATGGAACCCTCTAGAAGTTAACCAATTATAATATGAATGCCTCTAAAATTTTGTTAAAAATTACAAATTTACCGATAAATTACAAAATGTTTTATAGTTTCATAATTTTTTTAAGTTATTAATATATTTTAAACGTTGATCCAATAAGAACTTTATTAAAAAGTTCGGGATCAGATATCAAATTAAAAAAATTTGAGAATTAAATTTTAAATTATTTTTAGTACGGTAAATATGAATATGGAGATATGAAATTCAAGAAATACATGCCAATTATTGATATTTTTTTTTGGACCGCTATGATCTGAACAACCCAGAAGGCTTCACAACTTAATCTAACCTAACTCTCTTCTTCTTAGGTTGAGTTGTCAGATTGTTTTTTTAATTATTTAAAAAATTATACTTATTTACCATACATTTTAAATATTTATCGGTCACAACATATCGATAATATTAATTATTTTTAGAAGTATGATACGATTGGAGTGTAACACTATTTTCATATTAATATCTAACCGTACAAAAAAAAATCAATTAGTAAAATGGACAAATTTTTTTATTTTAAAAAATTATAACCAAAATCAATATTAATTAATTTGCAAAAGCGAGATTAATAAGTTAATAATAATAATAATATTGAAACCCATAATGCTCAAACGGTTACATTATGAGTGTGACCACTAGCTCCAATCATGACGTTCAATCATGGGGCCCACTATTTTTATTTATTTATTTTCCTTATTTTCTCCGATTTCAAGGAAAAAAATAAAAAACATATAACGGCGGACATATTCTCCCTTCCAAATTTGTCTTATTTTAGAATTAAAAAATTCAAATTCTTTTATTGTAATATATTTAATATACTGTAGATTAAATTATAAATTTTGAACTTTGTCTTTTTAAGTTTTTTAATATTTTTTAAAATTTATAAATAGTTTTAACCAATAGACTAATTAATTTTATTTTTATTTTTTAATCTGGCAAAGAATACACAATTTAAAATTTATAGAATTATTAGATACAAAATTTATATATTTAAAAACATATTTAAACACTTTTAAAAGATTAAAAACCTCAAAATTATGTGATAATCAAATAAAAAATAATGGTATAATCATTTAATAATCCCATCATATAATGAAAAAAAAACTCGATAAAATTCAACACCTTAGATATTTTTTTTAGTACAACAATGAATATGAGAATTTAAATCTGATTCTTCGTGCATAGTATCAATGAGCTATGTTCATATTGATAATTTTTTTTCACATATGATCCGTTGGTGATTATAATGCAAAGATAATTATGAAATTTTTAGTCTAACACGTGAAAGAAAGGAATTTAAATTTTAACATAAAAATTACAAGTCCTATTTAATCAACTTAAACGTCATCATCATGTGTTATTAAGAGTAAATAAGTTACAAAATGATCTTAATTCTCACCAAAAATGCCAAAAGATCACCTAAATGCAGAATGACATCATATGAGAGTCCACTTGATTCATACCTCTTCAACATATGACCATTTGATCTATTTCAAAAATTTCTTCGGTCACCATTTTGTCATCCGTTTCAGATCGAGAGCCAAAAGCTTCGTTGTATTACAAAAAAGAATGTTGTACGTCGAGTTCACCCGTCGATGGATCAAAGGATGCTTCGATGACAGCAGAGCAGCATTCGACGCCATCAGCGGAGCCTCGAGCTCCAACTGCCACGGGGTTGGCAAGAAGCTTAACTCCTTGTTTCCAGTATCTCTTATCTGAATCAGTTCATGATGAAATGAGAAGCATTTTAAAGTAAGTATCAATTTTCTTTAAGTTTCTTTGAATGATATCCATTTTTGTTATACCAAAGGTGAAGGCAATACCTGGGCCTGTGGATATGACAATGGAGTTCTTTGAATCCATAACCCAATCAATCCACAGTGCAATTCCATGACATATTCCAGCCTTGCTTACCTTAACCTGAAAGAGAAACATCAATGTTCATTATATAGATGAAGTATGGCCTCAACTCCTAGTTGGAGAGGAGAACAAAACATTCTTTATAAGGGTATAAAAACCTTTCCTTAACAAACGCATTTTTAAACCTTGAAAGGGAAAACCCAAAGAGGACAATATCTGCTAGCGGTGGGCTTGGGCTGTTACAAATGGTATCAGAGCCAGACACCAGACGGTGTGCTAGTGAGAACGCTGGACCCTCAAGGGAGTGGACTGTGAGATCCCACATCGGTTGGAGAGGGGAACAAAGCATTCCTTATAAGGGTGTAGAAACCTCTCCCTAGCAAACGTGTAACGACCCAGATTCACCGCTAGTAGATATTGTCCTCTTTGGGATTTCCCTTTCGGGCTTCCCCTCAAGGCTTTAAAACGCGTCTGCTAGGAGAAGGTTTCCACACCCTTATAAAAGGTGTTTTGTTCTCCTCCCCAACCAATATGGGATCACAAGACGCGTTTTAGAACCTTGAAGGTAAAGCCCAAAAGAGAAAGGCCAAAGAGAACAACATTTGTTAGCGGTGGGCTTGGGTTGTTACAAATGGTATCCCAGACACCAGGCGGTGTGCTAGCGAGAACGTTAGGCCCCTAAGGGGAGTGGATTGTGAGATCCCACATCGGTTGGAGAGGGGAACGAAGCATTCCTTATAAGGGTGTAGAAACCTCTCCCTCGCATACGCGTTTTAGAACCTTGAAGGTAAAGCCCGAAAGGGAAATGCCAAAGAGGACAATATTTGTTGGCAGTGGGCTTGGGCTGTTACAAATGGTATTAGAGCCAGACACGAGGCGGTGTGCCAGCGAAAACGTTGGGCCCCCAAGGGGGGTGAATTGTGAGGTCCCACATTGGTTGGAGAGGGGAACAAAGCATTCCTTATAAGGGTGTGAAATCCTCTCCCTAATATACGTGATTTAGAAACCCATGAGACTACCGACAATACGTAACGGGTCAAAACGGACAATATCTACTAACAATGGACTTGGACCGGTAGTAGATCCTGAGGAAGCTTTCCCCTACTCTAAAACTCACTTTATAAGAGACAACAAGAATTTTCCAGGCAAGCTGGGGATGAAAAAATTGCATTACCTGGCTTTTCCCACTACAGGGGCTTATTGGTTTTGAGAAATCAAACTCCATCACTGTAAATATCTCACTGAGTTCCTGAAAGTTTTCAAGACAGTGGCACCCAATCAGTATCATTGACACTCTTACACTGTTCAAGAAAGCTTTATTTGTTTACGTTTTAAACAAGTTGATTTGATATTCAAGGATTACCTCATATTCTCCACACTGCCAAATGTAAAAAGCCAGG